AGTATAAATAGTATGAAAACATACCGTTGTAAAAGAATTGTGGGTGATAGAGCAATTTGACGTTGTTATTTTTCGGATTTGGATCATCAAATTTCTATAAAAATCAATATAAATTTTTAAATACTTACAATAAAATAAGATTCCTTCTTAAAACAATTAACGAATTATTAACAAATGAACTTTAGGAATTGGCGCTGCAATAATTGCGCGTTTATTTTGATTAATCTAAGACAATCCTCTAAAAATAATATATTTGTCGAATGTTTCAACTAACTTCTTCAGCGGGAAAATTACGCAAAATCCATAAAAAAAATCTTCCTGTGATTACACTCCAACATTAAATTTATAACCAATTAGTAAGCTGGATAGTCAACGATATTTTGACCTTAAATGTAATAATTGAATATCAGAGTCAACAATATTAAAAACTTGCAAGAAATGATGTGGAGATTCATCTCAGGAACACGTTAAATACAAATTAGTCTTAACATATAATTATTGTAACGCAAATTCTTTAAGTGAATTAAAAAATATTTTAAACACGACGACAATTAAATAAATATAGTGTATATTGTACAAGTCAATGAAGTTCATACTGCAGTGTTAATCGTAATGAAAATGGATTATTTTTAGCTATAGACTTTTAGTTATCGGTCACATAACAAAAATATGAAACTAAGTAACTCAGGGTCTTTGTTTAAATTAATTCTGTTGTTTTATCACTTGATATTTACCATTTCTGATATTAGTCTTTTATTGTAGTTACGTTCTATGTCTAATATTTACGTTATTCCAATCAAAATCGTGACGTGTTCTATAATTCGTGACAACCGAAGAATTGATTTTCTTTTTATTGATATTTTATTTTTATGTTCGGAAATCCTTGTTTTTAATTGTCTACTTGTTTGTCCAACATAGGACGCGTCACAATTACAAGAAATTTTATACGCTATGTTCTTTTTACAATTTGGAGAAAGAGGATCTTTTTATCATTGAACTGAATTTATCGAGACTAAAAAACGAGATTTTTGTACTAGTATTTTTGATAATATTTTTAAATTTTTCGGAGATAGATTATATGGAATTGTGAACCAGCTCGTTTTTTCTTTATTATCCTTTTTTGAAGAATCATTATTTTTATTGGTGGTTTGCTTGAAAGTTTTTTTATTTTTTAGAATTTTAATTCTTTCTCGTATTATATCAAAAATGAAATTTAATGAATAATCGTTATCTAATAAAATTTTAATCACCTGTTCAAGGTTCTTTTGATAGAAAACTGAGTGCAAGATTTAAAAAATCCTGTCAACTATCCTTATTACAGTTCCTTTTTTTGAGATATCGGGTGTTGAGACTAGTAATTAAAATGTCT